GGAATCTCTCATTAAAGTCCAAGATCACGTGGGTAATTATTGTCTACGCGCTACCGAGAGAGACCCCCAGCGCCTATACCTATAATACTTGTTTGTAGCCACGCCACCGCCGCAGCAGTACGCGAAAAAAAATCGAATAAACTTTTCTATTTTTTCCTGCAACCATGATGGGGGTGAAAGTATGTATAATGACCGAGAGAGAGAGAGAGAGTATAGAGTCAAACGAAATTACGACGTTGATTCGTTGGAGCGTAAAAGTGGGTATTACAGTCTCTTGGATTTTCGTGCGTTCATGCGTATGCATGAAGATTGTGTTCAGGTGAAAGAGAGTATAAAGCGACGATGCTCGAATTACCTGGCTACTACACTATAGGATGGAAAAAGGGAGAGAAAATTTAACGTCTCGACAGGAAAAAGTATTTCCTTATCTTAATTCCGTGATGCGGCGATCGGCTCGTTTCTCTCCCTTGATTATCCGGTTGAGAAAAGTTGGGTATCGGCCACACACGACGACGACGACGACGGCGAAGCGAGTACACAAGGATCGGTTAATATTAAGTTCAACCCTGACCAGAGAGACAGAGAAAGAAGAGTCTAGAGCCTACATAATACCTACAAGCTCGAGCGCAAAACATATAACTCGCTGCGCGGCGTTGAAACAAGAAAGCATACCTGACACGCTTGTGCCGCTGCTACGCGAGTGACTTGTTGTTCTTCTTACTTCGCTTCTTCGCTTCTTCGTCTCTCTGTTCTCGGTCGGTCCGTTCGCGGAACCGAAAATAAATCATTCGAACAAATAGACGCGTGCACGAAGCGCTCGAGTTAACCTACATCTCGCGGATGCCGTTTTTAAAATAAAAAGAGCGCAACTACTGCACTTTTGCGCCGCGTGACGTTTCCAAGCGAGCCCCTTTTGTTATGAGAGCTACGTGTTACGCCTGAGCTTTCAACGCTGATTTTCATCATTGGCGATTGTTTTATTTACGATTTGCCGAGCCATTATTTCAGAAAATTCCACAAAGATAAAAGAACTCGCGATGACCGGGGACTTTTCAATTATTTTTTATTTTACTCGGAATTTTTCGAGGTATCGCACGTGAGCTTCGCTCAGCGAATTAGCGACGCGGCTAATATTTCCATGCGCGCGTATTGTGCTGTACAGCACGCGCGCGTATTATTTTTCCGTCACCGCGCGCACACAATTTTACGATCTGTAAAATACTTTGAAAGAAATAATAAAGTCATGTGTTTTTCTTCTTACGTACTCGAAACAATGGATAAAGTTAAAAATAACTTTCTTGAACTTTTGAACTATTAGCAAAAAAACAGCCAATGTTTTTTTTGTTTTGGCCCAAACGACCCGTACATAGGCACTATTTTTATCGCTGCAGCAGCAGCCGCCGCGCGCGGTGTATACGCGACGAGCAAATCCAAGATAATTGGGAGTTCGGCGCAGTAGCGAATATAGAGAGAGAGAGAAAAGTCGGTGGAATTATTATCTCGAAATGTATATATCATAGCGAGAGAAGGAATGCAAAGATAGGATTTCGCGATTCTATTAGACTTTACGAGTTTCGGGCTATACACACACACATCCGCCTGCGTCGCTGTACGTGTGGTAAAATCTCTGCCTCGGCTTGGATGCCAAGTTTATATCTTCTTTTCCAATCTTCGGCTTGGACCGGAGAGTCGAGTCGCATAGTAGTGCTGGTGGTATCCTCTCTCTCTCTCTCTCTCTCTCTGCGCAGCTTTCGAATCTACCTCACAGATTTATGCTCGGGCTCGGGGCTGTATGCGTGTTGCGGGTTGTGTGTTAACAGCGTCGGCGCGCGAAAAACAGCGTATACACACACGTGCGCATGGACGCGCGGATATATACTCATTGTCAACGCAAATCGAACAATAAAGTCTTTTTTACAGCTCCGAGTCGTAATTTTTACGACGCTCGCAAATCTGCTTTTTGGTACTGTATACTGTACAGCGATGCGCGCATATATATTGCGAAGAGGAGAGAGAGAAAAAGCTTGTCTGCAGTTGCGTGATTTCCTCCGCGACGCTATATACACCAGCAGCAGCCGAATGTTATATACTCGTCTTGCCTCGTTCCTCGTTCGAGCGGAAAACTTTCGATTTCCGGTATATAGACTACTACTATACGAGGCTATGCTGGCGTCGCTGCTGCTGGTGGGCTACTTGACACTTGACACGAGCAATTTGCGCTACTTATCACCTCGATTTCCTCTCTGGGGGAATAAGGCGCTCTCTCGCTCTTGTCACTCCCTTTTTGAATTATATCCTTTGATGTGGAAAAGTATAAACGCGTGCTCGATTTTCTCGAAGCTAGTCAACTCTCTTTCTCTCTATACTGCGCATTATTTGTCGCTCAAGATTTTGGTTTTTTGAAGAGAAAAAAATTGATTTCGAAAATTACGTCACACGCTGCACAACGTGTCTCTCAACACTCAAAGTCAGAGCGATGTATTAATCTCGTTTATTAAAAAAAAAATTGTTCTTGATCTTACCATACGATAATAATTGATTAAATTTTTCTCATTTTGGCGCGAAAAAGGCGGGGGGTAACGTCCTCTTCACGAAACTTTCCGGAATATTTCGACGCGTAACGTCACACTTGACGCATAAAAAAAAGTGATATTGCCATGCTCTTTATATAAGGCTGTATGCGCGCGCGCGGGAGAGAATCGTACAAATAGGCAAAGAGCCAAGAATTTTTTTCCTCCCGGTTACGGTAGATCGGTATTGTACAAGTAAAGCTGCTGACTTCGAATAGCCATAGTAGTCTCCCTCCTTCTTCTCCTTCTCTCCAAGAGAGAGCGAATGCATCGGACGTCCGTCGATGCCGCCCAGCAAGCAGCGCTGTTAAAAAAAAAACGTAGAAATTATTTTCAAATTCGCGTGTGCCGCGCGTACACGTATACAGAAACGCCGTATAGTATATACGAATGCTCGATAGAGAATGATGTATAGATAATATAGCGTATACGCAACGGGAAATGAATCGGTGCGCAGCTCGTGAACTTCCGCTCTGATTCACCGGTTCATTGTGTGCATTACAGGATCGCGTATCCTAACGACTCTTTCATTTTTTTTCGTCTCCTCTACATCGAACGGGTGAAAAGTTGCCTTTTTTCAAACTCTGCGCTATACTCGTTCTCGCGAAATTTAATCACTCCGAAAATGCCTAAATAACAAAATCGTTACGTACTCGCTCGAAAATCCGCTCTACCGAATAATGAATTTCGAATAACGAGGCAATAATCTCGTTAACTCGCTCGCAACAAAAACGTATCGATACTTCATACACTGGATTCAATGTAGGAAGTTGAACGTCGAAAAAGCTCGAATCATACGGGTACGCTTGACTCGTGCGAGCCGCAAGTGCCGATGGCCAGCCTGCGATAGCGTATACATACGTAAAGGCGTGTGACCGCGCGTGGGTGTATATTAATAGGGCCGATACAGAGAGAGAGAGAGGTCCGCTCTGAAAGACGCTCTTTGTGTGCAGTATAGGCAAGGGCTCGCTCGCACTTGCTCCACTCGGGCGGCAGCTAATGTGCGCGCGAGCAAAGAGCAGCAGCAGCAGCGGCACAAAGTTTATGGCGAAATGCGCATGTTTACGCGCGCAACCGAGAGAGAAGCCATCGTATACACATGCAAATTGTACACATACACAAGCTGCGCATAAACGGGGGCCGTGTATATTATATGATTCTCACGGTGGTGGCCAGCTCCCCGACGCGAACAGTGCGCGCCTCTATGTGCGCTGCTGCTGCTGCTATATGCTGCGCGTACGTATCGATGGAAATTGGTAAATTTACTTTGGTATAACTCGAAAGTACGTTGTAACCCGTTTTTCGCGCAGCGCAGCAAACTTAGTTGCGTGCGTAGTTACGTGGTAGTAAATTTTGGCGAATTATTATACGACTGGACCCCCGAAATTTGTCAACTTTAATGGGTATGCGTGTGCAGTACGACGAGTCGTGCAAAGTTAAAGTCATACACGGCGGCAGTGTGTACCGCACTCGGAAACTGCTGCCTGCGACGATCATGTACACACGCACGCGCGAAAAGTCAAGAAGCGTCGCTACTTCGACTACACTATACTACGTTGCATATCCGTCTTGTTGTCCTCTCTGCTCTTCGTTTCTCTCGGCTTATACTCGCACGACCAATCGGGTCCGAACGTCGTCGTCGTCGTCGTGCGCCGAATAGGTAATCGTATCGGACATCCGGCGTCACGCGCGCCTTATGCATACACCGCGTGCGCAGCTATGTATACATTACAAACTGCATCAACGTCTTAGCTATACACATACGTTGTATTCTTGACGCGGCCGAAAGACGACGACCACCGGCAATAAAGTCGGTCAAATTATAAGCACACAGATGCGTCTCTCGCAAGCTCCATACAGGCCCTTCTCGTGGGGGAGCTTGCAACCTAGTTTCGGTAGTATAGCTAGTAGCAGGGCTGCTCTCTGGACGCGTCGTCTTTCCCTCTGCCTAGTCGACGCTTAAATTTATGCAACTTGAAGGATCAGCCTCTCTCTCTGCGCGTGCGATATATCATACGGTGTGCGATGTACGCGTTACGTTACACGTACGTTTGCTATTCCAGCTAGATACGAGAGAGAGAGAGAGACTAGGTCAAGACAACGACGACGATGATGCAAGTCCGACGCGCTGCTCGTATACGTATCCCACAGCTGACTCGCATATGGGCTTACCTATAAATATTACTCCCCCGACCCGACCCCCGCACCGACCGACGTATACAATGCTATAAAGCTCCTGCGCTCGCCTTCGCAAGCACTTTCTCTCCTCGGCGAGCAGCGCACGATTTGAATAACGCATCCTGCGTTACCTTCTTTTTCTTTTTTTTTATTCGTGGTATGGCCCTTTTGAGAAAAGCATATTTTCGTCACGAATGTCAAAATATATCATATTGCAGAAAATTAATGTTCGATGGTCTGTTTTTCTTTCAGAAACTGCATCCGATCCAAATGAAGCCCGCCGATAGCGAGAATCGAAGCCGTAAGTACACGCAATCTATATACGTTCAATTTTGCTTAAACTTCAATAATAATAACGATAACAACAATGGTGCAACTATATCGATCGAAACTCAATATATATAATACGCAGTAATCAGCTGCTGCTGCAGCTCTGCCAACGCGCATCGACACATCCCACACAGTCGAGCCAGAGCCATTCCAATTTCCCACATAGCAGCTCTACTCTTCGCAGCTAGAAAGATGTCTCTCTCTGCTGGCAATGGTACTTTTGACCCATAAAGATGACTTATCATTTGGCCTTTTGTCCTTCTCTGGAATATAATCCCCATATCCTCTCGCTTCCTCTCTCGTCGTCGAAAGCTCAGGGCTCTTCGCGAGCTTTCACACGCTCTCGCGCGTATCAAACGTGTGTGTGTATGTGTGCGTTTCTGCATGTGCGAATGTGTCAGCCGTACGCTCGACTACTACATTTTTTTCTCTCTTTTTCTCTCGGCCTAGATCCAACGCGACGAACGACGGGCACAAGTATTATTCATACATAGAGCGTACGTATATCGCCGCCGCCGTATCATAAATTCATGGCTCGACACACACACACATATATGCGAACATTAAAGCGTTACGGGGAAAAAGTTGGACGCGCCGCGCGCGATCGCCTTAAAAAAACTTGCCGCCGTCTAACATCTTTACTTACGTCGCATCGCGCAGCAGTCTCTGTTTCTACGTACGATGAACTATCGCCATATAATAGAAAAAAAATGTATATATGTGCGCGATAAGCTCGTTGAGACGCGTATGTGCGAACGCGGCTGGAAGGAGAGACGATCGGCGAAAGAAAATCGAACACGCGGCTGCTCGTGGAATTTGCGGCTACGATCGACCTGGCCTCTTGTATTGGACGTGCGTGTGGCTATTCGAATTCGATATGACTGCATCGTAGAGCCTGTGCACTGAAGCCAGATACGTATGCGGGGTGGGGTGGGACGAGGGCTACGCTACACACATAGGCTAAAGGGCTTTGAGCAGCTCGCCGAGCAATCAGCATCACCTTGACGCTCCGCAAAGCTCCGAATCACACACAGGCGGCTGTGGCTATTCTCTGTCTCTGTTATGGGAAGAGAGGCTCGATTAGCCGATACGCCAGCGAGTGAGAGTAGTAGCCTCTGGAGCAGCTCTCACGAGGGCGATCGTTGCTGCTGCTGCGCAGATCGATCGACGACGCGGAAAGAGTAAGCGCCAGGAATTTCACGTACATACATATTATAGCCCTTGTCCGCGTTTAATTCGCTCAATCGACTCTCGAGCTCGTTGTACAGCTACTACTATCGATTCGACAAATTGAAAATTTATGATAACGACGATATTGTCAATCCCATTCACGTTTCATTATAATGCACATATCCTCGAAAAAGTACAATGCAAAACGGCACAGGGACGACGATATCACCGCGCGCGTGTCCAAACTCGGTAAAGACATAACAGTGAGAGAGAGAGGTAAAACAAAAAAAAAACACAACACTCGCAGGCGCGCACGTGACCTTTTTCGAGCGAGGGACGTTTGCAAAACTCGGAGCGAAGTAAGTGCACGCCACCTACCTCTCGCACGTTTGAAAAGCCATGCTCTGCGAGAGATATCTCTCTCGAAAAAGCGAAAGTCTCGCGCGCGTGTGTGCGGTTTCTACCTACATCGTTATAAACCTGTACGAGGAAAGGAAACAAAAGCTTAAAATGCAAACGAGCGTGTCTCTTGTATATATACACGACGCAACGAGGATGGACTCGAGGAGCACGAAAAACACACGCGCGTGGATGCATTATTGCACACAGCCGAGTCGCCTATATACAGCTGGCCAAAAGCCAAATTTTCTCTTTCTAGGCTTGCCGTAACAGTCGCACACACGTGTAAACGTGTATACACGCATGCGTGGCCAAGCAAATCGACGTCGTCATTATAATACGCCGCTGCTCTCCGGGCGCGAAGTCGAAACCTCCGCCGCCGAGTTATTGTGTCTAGCTCTCGTCGCTGCGAAAATGTATATGTGTATTATAATATACCCTATGCGAGTGCGCGTCTATTCCTTCTTGAGTTCTAGTATGTATGCAGCCGTATTATATAATGCAGCAGCCTAGGCATGCACGAGAGAGAGTAGAGTAGACGAGAAAGAAAGCTCGAAATTCTGCGATACACGTGGTTTTGTCGTGGCAGCGGAGAGCTTGCGTGCAGAATTTGACATACTTACTACGCTGTTGTCTTCTTTTCTATACGTTTTATACCCATGGACGTACATCTCATTTGTCGTGGAACACATTTGTGGATCGCACATTTTGACAATGTGAACGTTTACCGCCTTATTTATAATGCTTCTCATTCTTCGCGAGTGTCTCAAACGTCGATTCCAATTCGGAGCTGCACTCAAACTAAGAGAAAAAAAAACGACCGCGAAAATGTGAAATATCGTTTTAACATCGGCGGATTGTGTCCGTCGCGAGCGCCGTAGTTTATCGGCGATATTATCTTGTCAAAACACACGATTAATTCAAACTTGTCAGCCGGCCAACAAAACGTCTTCTGTGCGTCTATCGGTCGCACGCAAAAAAAAGGAATGAAGAAGAAAAAAAGAACAAGAAAGAGAGACAACCATGTGTCGAAGCGCAGAGTGTGTGTGTGTGTGTGTATGTACGAAGCGAGAGAAAAGAAACGTACGTCCGAGTACACTGCGTACAGTCCCTCTCTCTCTCTTTTAACTTTTTCACTTCTGTCCAATCCATTTGCGCGAACATGACGTAACCCCATTGGCGTTCGACACATACGCACGCACATAGATACATAGATTCTCTTGCCTTTTCTTCGGGTCGAGCGAGAAATAGAAAGAGCGCAAAGAAAAGAAAAAAGAGAACGCAGAAAAAAAAGTAAGTAAGTACAGTAGCCGGAAAAGAGCGAGCAACAGTCGGAGATTACGTAGGCAGCAGCGCAGCTATACACAGCTCGACCGAATAATCCGCGCGCTCGCGTCTATAAGGCTTATATGTAGTAAAACACAGATGCACTTGTGGCATCAGGAAGAGAAGAGCAGACTCTCTCTGCTGACCGCTTCAGGCCATGGATGTGTTATAAGTGTGTGTGTATAAATAAAGCTCGGGATATGCTTCTAAAAAACTTGCACTTCTCTCTCTGGTGTGCAGCACACATTCTCGTGTGTCTCTCGGCACTCATTAAGTCTGATGTATTAGGCGCGCGCCGCAGCCGAGGCTTTGTTTTTTCCTCTCCTCTGCTCCGACCTCCTCCTCCTCCTCCCCTTCTCTCGCACACCTCGTTATATTGTGTGTGTGTGTGCCGTAAGCGTCCACTGCTGCTGCTGCTGCTGCTGCTGCTGTCATGTAACTCGAATCGAGACACGACGCACACACACGAATTTTCGCGTCTATGACCGAAAATTGCCCAGAGTTTCAACTCCATAATATTATATATTTTTCTCTCGCTCTTAGCCTCTCGCGCCTTTCTTTCTTTCCGGTCGATATTTTTTGCGCTCTCCATTCTTCCTTCTTTCTCGTAGTACATATGTATGTGCCTCGAGCTGCTCGAGTCATGCACGTATGCCTATGTTTGCGTCTGCGTGACTCACGAATGTATACACAGAGATCGTCTCCTCTTACTCGCGCCTGTACTCGGTTTTTTTTTATTTTATTTTTTTACTTCGAACACACACACACACACACACACACACACACACGACGAGAGTATGGAGGCACGTTCTTCCTTCCTCCTTCTCTCGCTCTGCACTCGGCTCCAGTCGTATATTATAGATAGCTCGTCAAAGTCGCGAGACTTGACATCGTTGCGGGCCGTGTATTATACACACATAGGCGCGGCGCGGCGCTCATCGAGCTTTCGATCACGAATCGCGTAACGGCGGAATGCGCCTGCGATGCGCCGCGCGAATTGCGGCAGATCGATAAACACGCGCACGAAGCTGCACCGCAAACACTCGAATTCGTATCGTTGTTTTCAATTTTCCATTCTTTCTTTATTTTTTTGGTTTTATCTCGCGACGCCGCGGGATTCGTTCGTGCGTAAGCTCTTTGTAACGCGTTGCAACTCTTTCTTTCTTTTTGTATGCACACGCAGCGCGTGTAAAATTCAATAGTTGAGCTTGACGTATGTGTGCGCCGTGCGCCGCGAACGAATAAAATAACAGAAAGTACTGTGCAGCTCTCAAAAATTCATGGTGTCGCGTTGAAAAAGTAAATAGCCCCAGCTCGAAAAGGAGTTTCAGCGACACGTCGACGACTCGAGGAGATCCGCCAGAGTCCGTCGCCGTATAATACACCACGACACTGCGCTACGACATTAGCATGAAAGTTAATCGCTTTTGCATTCGGCGCGCGATCGAATTAAAATTCCAGCCTCGTGGTCTCTACGCCGTGGCATTCACTATATCAATATATAGTGTGCAGTGTGTCCCGGTGACGACTCGCACGAAATAATGCATAAGAAAGCCACCGCCCCCCTCCGTCCGAGCCAGAGAGAGAGAGAGAGAGAGAGAGAGAGAGAGGATGGAAAATTGCTGAAAGTGTCGAAATGATTTATTTTTTCCATACGCGTATATAGAAAAATAAAAGTGAAATAAAAATCAAAGTTCGAGCTCTGTGCGACTTGGCTCCGAAATCTCAAGCACTCTTGCGTGCGGTCGTATGTTCCATAAAGCACTGCAACGAACGCATACCCACACACACACACACACAGGGCAAACTTTTGTTCTCTCGGTCTCGAGTCCGAAAAATCTGCAAGGTACACACGGCAGACGAGAGCACATCTTGTGGTTGGGTCGAGCTTCAAAGAAACAGTACACATAAAGTTTCTGTGGTGCAAACTTACACACACACGTTGGTACGTTCGGTCGTATACACATGTACAATATATAATAGCAAGAAGACCGCGAAAGATATAAGCACTATTAACATGATGGCACATATACACACAGACAGGAAGTCGTCTTTGTGTGTCCGTTTGTGCAACTC